CAACTTGAGACTCTGTCTCAAAAAAAAAGGCGGGGGGGGGCAAGGAAATAAAAAGAAAAAAATTAAAAATGAGCAAGGAAATAAAAATAAAAAATATATAATATATATTTTATTTACACTTTAGCAGATTCAAGTCCAAACACAAAGTCTCATTAGCCTGCACTCCATAATAATCACCAGCTTTGGCAAATCAAGGGACTCACTCCCCAACCAGTTTATTGGCCACAGAGATAGAATTTATGACTGTCTCAATCTTGGGTGATTTTTCCAGAGTACAGTCAGTTACAGGAAGCAAAGAAAAAGACACTAACTGTCAAAGAAATTCTAGACAGGAGAAAAATAGGCAAAAGTTAAATTTCACACCTAAGTTTGAGAATTAACACACAAAGACTGTCTCGAAGGACAGGACGTGTGTGAAAGTTCGGCCATTATCACACTCTCCCTAACCAACCCTGGCAGGACGGACGGCTGACCACTGAGGCGGCACACTTATCCCTCAGCGAAGCTCGGCTTCTGTGTTCACATGTCACTGAAATTCCTTTTCTAATCCTCATGAAGTTAAATTAAATAACCAAAATCTTTAATAAACACCACAGACGTACTGGATGGAAAATGAGAGCGATTTAGTTTAAAAGGTGGGACTGTTGGGTAAGTAACAGACAGGTGGCAAAAAGAGAAACTTTCACAATACCAAAGGATGCAATTGTATTTTTAAGCATCTAAAAGGATGAGGGTTCTTGGCAGGTTTCTCATTTGTTTGTGGTTTGTAAGCAAACCCTTGAGAAGGAGTTAAACATATACTCGCAACTGCCATGTGGCAAAGTTAAAACTGAAGTAATCCATTTAGGATTCAGAAAAAGCAAGCAAAAGAAAAAGTGGCCATGAGGTCTTCACAGACCACCACACAGAAAATACCTGTCCACTACATCCTCTCCATCCCAGCAGGGGGCTCCATCGGCAGCGGCCAATTCATTCACACAGAGCTGGTCGGCCAGGCCTCCGTAGAAGGACCTGTACAGTCGAAGACTGTTGATAAATTCTCTGCATGGAAGAACAAAGAAGAAAATTAAAACCAGAAATCTGTACTGAAGGCCACCTTAACTGGCTTATAATTTTATGTATGATCTTTAGGACATAACCTTTTAATTTTCTCTGTTCTTTTTCATATATTTAAGTACTTTTTAAACCATCAAGTCATAAATACATTATCTTTTTAAAATGAATGCTGGTATTTAAATTTGTTCTTCAAATAAAAATTTTCAACAGGTGTGAGTCTTGCATAGTTCCAGGTCCGAGTGGTTGTGAATAGTCTATATGTGTGCACAGACTCACCCCGCACTTTGTTTAGTCTCCCTAAACAGTCCCACTAGTTGCTGGCATCAAAACCATGAATAATTATTTTCTTTTCCAGGTAGAAAATGCCACAGGCTTACAACATGCCCATTGATGGCTGACTGATTAAAATGTTAGTAGACTTGGGTCATTTTCCTATCTGAGCCTTCTCTTTAGTATCTAAGAATATAAAGCAATGTGTCTTTACTAAACATGACCCAAATTCATATATGTAAGATCTATCAGAGGCATGAAAATTAAAATTATTAGAAGGAATAATGTATTGACCAAAATGTTTTTCCTTCCACCCCACTTCTCCCCGTAGCAATTATGGAAGGGATAACTTTAAAAATATCAGTCCTTTTTTTTGTTTTTGTTGGTGTGATACATTTTAAGTTTAGAAAGCGAAGACTTTTGAGTTTTAAAACCAAGTCTTTAGAGTACCAAAAACTTGAGTTTTGTCACTTCAAAAGGCCAAATTCTAAGACTTTAGTTATGAATTTTTGGAAAATAAACAAGTATTTCAGAAAAAGGAAAGAAAGCCCTAGCCTGATACAAAGGAGATGCCATCTAGACTAGAAGGAGGGGGCAGGAGAAGGATCAGAAGGAAAGCAAACTTCAGAAACTCTTGGAATGACCAGTTGAGCTGTAAGGATAAGATGGCACCTTCATTAAAATTTTAAAAATAAGATTAAAGAAGAAGGATGAGTCTATCTGGAGTAACTATTTTAAAAATTACATCTGATTTTGAGAGCATTATTGAGCCATTTCATTGACTTTATAATGCTCTCTTACGTTGGTTTTTAAGGAACTATGGAAATAGTATTTTTGGAAATAGCTGGAGAGGATCTGAAGGAAAGGTAAATAGGATTTTCAAATATGCAACATCAGAACTCAAACAAAATCAGAAATTATCACTGCACATATTTGGTAAATTTTTAACTAAATTTTTGGCAGTTTGACCAGATAAGTGATAATAAAATGGCTACAAGGGGCATAAATGTGGCTGAACTTGGGCTTTCCACCCAGCCAGGATAGAGGCATGGAAGGACTTATTTTTAGCAGAGGAATCTGACCTAAAGTAGTAAATATGTAATTATTGTGCCAGGGAGAAAATAAAGCTTTTTTAAAATCAATTCTAAGTTATAATTGAGTCAGATTTATACTTCTTGCAGCTTCTAAAACATAGGTGAGGAAGCAGACTGCTTCTTTTTTTAGAAAGGTGAGTTTTAATGAATGGAAGGATGTGTAACTCTTGTCCTGAATTTTAATCTCTATAAATGATCAAAGAGTGTTCTTGAAATAAAGAGGCCAGGCACAAATGGATGGAATGCCAAGACCTTTAAATCGATGCTGGAAAACTAAATAGCTTTTTTTTTTTTTTTTTGTAATGAATCCCTAACTACTGACTCCAATCTTAGTGAATATCGCCTGGGTTCACTTCTCTCTCCACAGCCAATAGATCCTAGTGGGGGAAAGCCACACATCCTTCTCTCCCAGTCTCCTGTCACGGTGCTGCCACAGCTCAGCCCTTATCAGGTTTCTCTGGACTTACTGCAGTGGGGCTACATACCTCTAATATCTGCCTTTCCAATCACCTCCCATTCTCCATGAGAGCCCCCTTCTAACACTGAGATATCTTATTCCACAGATTGTGCTGCTCACTTGCCTAAAATGCCTCAACGGCTTGTCCAAAGCATAAAATTCAAGTTTCTTGGCAAGGTGTGTAAGGTACTTACTCACTGCAATTCCAACAACCACCCAAACCAAACTCAGGAGGGACGTGCTATTCCCTGAACACAGCTTCACGCTTTTGCACATGTTTGCTCTGAAAGGATTGTACTCTACAAGATTCTCATGCATTCTAGGAACCATCCGCTATCCCTTATTGATTACAAAGTCAGAAATACTACTGAATCCTAAATTCTGTGTTGGCACTAGGGACTGCGAGGTAAACAAGATAGAACCTGCCTTCTAAGAACATAGATTTTGGTGAAAACCAACTATAATAATGACAGTATTATTAATAATAGTGACACATTTGAAGATGGGAGAGGAATCAGGAAATATTTACAAAACAAGGTAGTACTTAGTGTTCTGTGAAAAACAAGCAGACTAAAAGAAAACAAACAAAAAACCAGGATGTGCAAAGGTAATCAGAAAGAACACAGGTAGTACACAGTTTAGTTTACTGGCCCTGTGATTATGGGAATGAATTATAGCTAAAATGGTAGGAAGCGGTGGTATCCTAATCAGTCTTCCTGATCATCATAAGATGTTTCTGGGTTACTCAGAAGGCAGCTGGAGCCATGGAAAGTTTCCCAGTTGCATCATCATGGCAGCAATAGGAAAACAGAAAAGTCAGGAGGTCCCCTAAGGAGCTAGGTCTCCTAAGGGGCTATGACCTCAAGGGGAGAAAAACTGACGGTGTGAAAAAGAATCCACCAGTGAGCATTAGAAAAACTGATGGATTTGAAAGACATTCGGAGCCTACAATGGACGGGTGAAGTAAATGTTAAAACAATTTCTTTTTTCCAGTTTAGTTTGAAGATAAAGAGGATTAGGTTTTATTGTTTGGTTTGTTAGTCAAGTCCAAGTTGTGCTGTGCACACCCGGGAGGCGTGCCGTAACTCTTACCCTCTTCCTGTTAGGTGAGAGCAAGGACAAGGACAACTCCTAATTATCTTTTCCCCAAGATGACTGAGGAGATGGTTATGTCATTCCCTGAGATAAGGATGATGAATGGTGAATACAGCGTGGGACACTGAGAAGGTGAGATTTCCCTTCCTTTACAATCGTCCTTCCCCGGCTCAATATTTTCATCTTTCAAGGCAGATACCATTTTCTAGTCTGTCGTATAATGGGTGTATTTATTAGGCTTTATTGCTTCCTGTCTGTCTCCCTGCTCTAGAATAAAAGATTCCAGCAGGCAGGGATTTTCTTGTTTGCTCATTTGTTTTGTTCATAGCTACAGACCCTAGGCAGTGTAGTGTCATACAGCAGACCCAATAAGAAATTATCAAATTAATAAGTGAGTGAAAACCAAGGAATTAATAACACCATTCTTGACATGTTCAGTCTGAGGTTTCCTTGGAGCACACAGATAGAAAAATTAGGTAGAACACTAAACTATCTTCTAACTTACTACGTGGAAATCTGAGCTAGGGATTATGCAGATTCAGATTTAGTAGTTCTGGAAGAAGGACCAAGATTCTATATTTCAAAGTGCCGCTCAGATGATGCTGATATCACTGGTACAAGAACTATGAATATCACAGAAGTATGCTGTTAAATAGGTGATTTTGGAACTCAGTGCACAGGACATGTGATGTGAGACCCGTCACTTGAGGCCGTGGTGAGTGATGTTATAGATATACACAAAATCTCTCAGGAAAACGATATGTCAAAAGTGGAAAGAGCAGAGGAAGAAAACTTCAAAGTTAAAGCAGAATGAGAACTAAAGAATGAGTTGATTTACTGAAGTTAGGGACATTCCCATAGTGTAAAATGCCAGTATGAGAAGTTAATGAAAATACTGAAAGCATCCTTCCTATGTGGTTACCAAAATTGTTTTCAACAGAATTGTGCCCCCCAATTCATAGGTTGAGATGCTAACCTTAATGTAGCTGAATTTGGAGATCGGGACTCAGGAAAATAATGATGATTATATTAAGGTTAAGTGATTCTAACCCACTCTGACAGGTGTCCTCATCAGAGGAGGAAGAGATCCAGGGATGGTGCAGGCACAGAGGAAAGGCCGCAGAAGAAACAAATTCAAGTTGCTTGGATTTTTTGGAGAGTGACTCAATCCACATCATTTTTTTCTCTACAATTGTAACAATATAGCCTATTAAAATCAAGACCTTAATAAATGCAGGCAGCCATCTGAGAGAAGAGAAACCTCGGAAGAAACCAACCTGCTGGCACTTTGATCTTAAACTTCAGTCCCCAGAACTGAGAGAAACTTCATCTCCGTTGTTTTAAGCCAGTCTGTGGCATTTATTATGGCAGCCCTGGGAAACTGATATAATCGTTAAGTCACCTGAAGTATCAGACTCCACATTTGTTGTATGATAAGCCTTAAGAAGAGGACGAGAAACGTTAAGTGGAAGTACCAAAAAGGAAAATTAAAGGAATTTTGTTTTATTTGTATGTTTGAAGTATGGGAGAAATTTGAAAATATCTGAGTGTCAAGGGGAGGGGATAACGAGGGTTTGCTGTCCTTAGCTGGTTCCCACACACAACAGTTTTCTACCTCCTGGCACACAGCGCACAGCCCCGATGAACTTAGCTTTGGCGTGTCCTGGCTTTGGGTTCTATCAAATGTCTGCAGAAGTCATGTGTGTTCCTCCCAGGGGTAAGCTCTGAGATCCGACACCTTTGCAGGCTCCTGTTCCCTCTTCCATGATGACTGGCAACGTTTCAGATGGGGGCTGCTCAGTCATTCTGATTATTAAAGTGTAGGGAACAAGAGCAGTAATTTCAGCTGATCTGAAACAGTTACAGGGTGTGAACATAAACACGGTTTGTTCTACACCAATGGTATGCTGGGGTGCTTTGCTTCCAGGTTATAACTTAGTCTCTCTTGACTGATACAGTAACAGTAAAAGAAAATTAAAACTGACTGAGGAATGACAAATTTTGAAAAGCAGAGTAAGGACCAGCTATGGAAAACATAACAGAGTGTTTAGCTTCAGAGGAAATTCTCT